AACCACATTCCACTTCACACTTATGTGAAGGAGTTTTTCTCACTTCTAATGTTCATCTTTTTGTGTAGGCCTCACTCACACTCTAAGAGTTCATGTCATAACAACCTTCACAATGTTAGACAATGGCTCACTATTTAGCCTCTATTTTGACTGTTGATGTCTAGATGAAGCAGTTTTTATCCCTTGTATCTAGGGAAACCAAGGTCTTATAAATAAGGATGCAGGGAAAAGCATAACTTTGAGAGACCTGCCCAAACACAGTTCTAGTGATGGATTAGCTAAGTGGGGGAAAGGACAAGGCACATATAATATTAATTAGGTAAGGACATGTGACAGTGACCAGGCTTAAGTGACCAGTAGAGTTTTCACACATAAAGGTTTAGACTATAGTTTAGCCTTATTCAGGTAAGGTACGGAGGAGTGTTGCAACCATGTGATACTTAGGAATGTCCTGTACATGCCCTGTCAGACAAGACATCGTCAGAAATGGGTGGGGCACTACTCTGATTCACATGCTGATGTGTACTGCTCATCTCCTTGGGACCAAGCTTACAATAAATACTTGAGACATCTGAACTCCTGGTCATCGTCTTTTTCTCAAGCTCACACAATTTCCACCACAACTCGGTATTTCCATAGAAATTGTTTTGTTGAGTGATATTAGGTGTTAAATTTTACATGTGTGACATATTCCTTCATCACCATGAACACGCACACTAATTTATTTTGACTCAGATTTATGTCTACAATAGGAACTAATAGGCTTCAACCTTAAAGTGTTGAGAGACGAACTGACACATTATTTTTTGGTCTTTTCATTGGATTTTTTTGACAATAACAAAAATATAGTATGACACCAGCTTTATCCTTTATATGATTGACATGTTGGTGTAAATTGCTAATGATAAATATGTTATAGGATGAGATTATTTATTAAATGAAATTAAAATTGTATTCGCACTTCATAAATGCCAGTTGGAAATCACAACAAACATAAAGAAGAATTGAAAACATCATCGAACCAAAACATCAGACCACATTTGCCAAAAACATGGAGCTTGGCTTTTGACTCATCCAAAAACACTGTTTACAAAATTTAAGAATTTATAAAACCTTGATGTATTTTTTAAAGCTGGTGCAACAGGAGGTCGACAGACAAGAAGAGATACCGCTGGACTTTAAGCGAGATGTTGCCAACGTTGTGCAGCTGAACATTCATCAGATCAGCTCTGTATCAGGCTGTGAGGTCTCCTGAGGCTCTGTATGAAATGTCAGTTAAATATCAGGAACATCAGTTCCCACTGACCATAATACTCCCTCAGAGCTCCGTCTCTCATATGAGCAGTAATGAAGCGCAGCAAACTGAGCAAGCAACAGCTGGCGTACAGATATTACGGCGATCGTTTTCCACCCCGGAGAGAAGAAACTGCTGGGCTGAGATATCAGACACCGACACAGCCGGAGAGTCTCTGCATTTTACGGTGAATTATCAGTGTTAAGAAAAGTCAGGGTTTAGCTCAGGAGCACACAGAGACACCAGTTTATGAGGAAGGTAAACAACTTCAACACACACGCACACACACGCACAGACACACGCGCACGCACACACACACACACACACACAGCACGACACAGAGGTAAGGGGGTGGAAAGAACACGTCACACAGACCAGACGGCAAGACAGTAGGGGCACACACACACGAACAACACACACAACACATGTCAGGCAGCACACAACACACAACACACAACAGATGGTTTTTCACACACACACACACACGCATACATATCCATAAATGAGCTTCTACTGACATCTTATGGCAAATTCTCATCATCACACCAACCACTACAAAAAAACTGAAACGCAGACCAGCACTGTGTGTGTTCTGGTCCACTATGTTTATTGGCCTAAAGTGCATCAAGTTCTTAAAGGGCACATACAGTCCTTGTGTCCTTGTGTTGTTTGATTATAAAGCAGGTCTAGGTTCTACATTAATACTGTGAAAGTATTAATGCGCTCATTCCACAGAGAAATGCACACAGCCTGTATTCAGAAACTGAGCCTTAAAACCAGCTGTCAGGACTTCTGGAACTTTGTGATGTCACAACAAAGGAGTCACCGCTCTCAGCATTTATTTATTTAGATAGATAGATAGATAGATAGATAGATAGATAGATAGATAGATAGATAGATAGATAAATGGCATCCGTGTTCAGGGACTAGTCCAGTTTACTGTCCAGGTGCACACCTAGGTATTTATAAGTGTGCACCACCTCAGTGTCCTTCCCTCGAATGTTGACTGGCTGACGGGTGGGCCTAGACCTCTGAAAGTCCATGACCATCTCCTTGGTCTTGGAGGTTTTGTTGCTCCATTCACTGAAGGCCGTCGTCAGATACTTCCTGCCCGTTCCTGATACGCACCACAATAGCTGTGTCATCCGAGTATTTCTGGATGTGGCAGGACTCAGAGTTGTATTTAAAGTCAGCCGAATACAGGTTGAACAGGAACGGAGCCAGAGCAGTCCCCTGTGGCCCCCCAGTGCTGCTCTTCACTGTCCCTGAGACACAGTTACCCAGCCTGACGTACTGTGGTCGTCTGGTCAGGTAATCCACAATCCAGGATGTGAAGCAGGTTTTGATCACTCAGAAAAGAGTCAGCCAATCAGAAGAAAGGCTCAGAACCATTGAGATGTTTACTGGTATTTAAAAGCACAAATATATCTTCTTGGATCAACACTTCAAATAAAACACCAGAAAAGTGTAAAATATGGGACCTTAAAGAATGATATAATTTTTGCTGTTATTTTAAGAAATAAAACTAATTACCATGCATAAATGTTCCACCATTTTAAGACTTGGTCTGAACCTCCAAATGCATGAAAAGAGCTTCAGTGCTCTTGAGATCCAGTTAGGAGTGTGTGTTTAATCCACATGTGCTGCGCTAGTGTGTGTTTACAGCAGCAGGATGGTGTGTGTGGGACTGAGTCACAATAAACTACAATGTATGTGTGTGTGTGTGTGTGTGTGTGTGTGTGTTTGTGTGTGTGTGTGTGTGTGTGTGTGTGTGTGTGTGTGTTTGATGGGACATGTCGGCCAGTGCAACAGTGTGGCTCATTCTGGGGATGGGAATATTAGCTGGTTGGTTCACCACTTTGGCCCAGAGTGAAATATCTCAAAAACCTTTGGATGCATTTCCACTCAGACATTTCTGTTCCACAAAGGATAAACCGTACTGACTTTGCTGACCCAGTGATTTTAGTAGGCCTAGCAACAACATTTGGATGAATTGTCATTTGTAAAGACATTCATGTATTTGTATTTTTTGTCTAGCACCTCATCTGGCTAAAAAGGCTATAACCTATTACCTGCAAAACAGGGGTCAAGAGGTCAGGGGCCCAATGGGCCAGAGCTTTTGTTTAAAGTAACTGTTAACATTTATTGTTGTTAATCAAACAACCACAAAATGACTACAAAGATGCAAAAGATGATTATAAAGAGACTTTCAGTCTGAGGGTCTGAAAATGTTTACAGGCTAACATGCTAAACTGAGACGGCTAACATGATAAATACACCTGATAAACATCAGCATATCAGCATGTGAGCATGTTAGCATGGTGTTAGCATTTAGCTCTATACCACTGTGCCTAAGTACAACCTAAACATCAGCTTATCAGCACTGTCATGGTGAGCAGGTTAGCATGATGATGTTAGGCACAGTGGTGCATAGAGCTAAAGGCTAATTACAGCCTCACATAGGTGCTGCATGGCTGTGGATTCTTGTTGTGGTTTTTGGAAACGATGGAGCTCTATGCCACAGAGTAAGAAGATATCAGGCTTTCATAAACACACAATACTTGTTAGTGGGAAAGAAAAATATAGAATATCACCAAATATATCCTTTAATGAAATGAAAACAATGACAAAAGGTCACTTCAGTACTGAAAAAATCCTGAACAAGGATCAAATTAAAAAATGTGTGTGTTTGCTTTTCTCCATATTAGAACACGTTATTATAACGGATACCAATCTACACTGGAACACTGTTCCTGTTTTATGCAGACTACAAACTTTGCTTTAAATGGGTCTATAAAAATTTTCTCCTGAATCTATAATGATATCTTGCTCTAGCTAAACTTACAGCTGCTTCAATTAAAACTCCAGTTAAAGCTAAAGTTAATCATGCTGTCCGTCATCAGTGAGGAAACTATAAAGTCATTACAACCATCACAGAAGGAGGTTGTTGGTCCTGAAGGTAGATGTAAGATGGAGATCACTTTGAAGCTGCTTGAGTATGAATTACATAGAGGAATCATTTATAGACGTCAGGCTTCTGTGTGCTCCGTGTGCTTTGAAAACTTTAACCAAATTAGTTAAAGTCAACAGTCAGTAGGCCTCTTCTTATCCTATTATGGTTGGGCCTTCTCCACTGGATATTTGGAATTTGAATATCCACACAAGCTTCACTTCATGTTATGTAATGCTGTTTGAAGCAAATTGCTGCGTACTGAATGTTCAGGACCTGCAGTGCTGTAGGCTGCCATATGCATCCTGTTCCCATAGCTGACACCAGATCTTCAAGCTTGTGATATCATTAAAGAAGTCAGGTTGACATCTGTAATTTGAAAGTTAAAAATGTAATCTGCAGCAGAAAAGTCATTGTAAAAGGGAAAACATTTTAACCAAAAAGTTTGTGCATCCTATTCAATCAGTTCTCATTCACCTCAGGTTCAGGTTCTGATATATTCAAGTCGGTCCTGCACACACAGCAGGTTTAAGATACACACACAGATGTACACAGATTTTGTGCAATAGCTGGCAAATGTGTGTTTAGGTGTGCCCAAAACTTTTTAAGTTCACAAAATAAAAAAAAGCTTGTTTTTAATGTCTGTTTGCTGTAGGGGGTGAATTTACTTCTTTCACTTCAACTATAAAAGTGACATAAGAAAATTCACTCCACAGTACAGTTACAATGTGTACAGTATTCGGTTTGGACATCGGTTTGGACAGGTGTTCAGGTGAAACCTCACAGAGTCAGTGGAATCAGATTATAAATCTCCATCACATGCAGATCATTAAAGCGTTCAACATTTAAAAACTGCTCTTTTATTTTGATATATTTGCTCCTCTGTTAATCCCCTGAGTGTTGCAGAAATAATAATGAATCAGCTGCTCCTACTGCAGCTGTTTGACCAGCTGCTCGTCCTCAGAGTCTGAAGGTTTTTGTAGATTCAGCACTTTTTCTCTGCCGAGCTTTACCTTTGGTTTAAAGTCCACAGACAGCAGCTCCCTCTGGATCCTCAGCTCTCTCTGCCTCCTCAACAGAGCCAGGATCTCCCTCCTCTGGTCGGCCATGGCCACGTACCTCTGTCTCTCCTCCTGTCTCTGCCGGAGAGCGTGGACACTCGGCGGCTCCAGGGCGGAGGGTTTAGGTCCAGCGGCAGCGGTGCTGCTGCGCTGCGGCCGGGACACCGGCAGCCTCTGTCGGATATCTGCCGACACCAGCCGGGACTCCAGCGGCGGCAGGAGGGATAGGGAGCTCCACAGCTGCCTGGCATGGGACACGTCCTCCGGAGAAGAGCCGTCAAACACGGTGAAGAATTTATCAAACTCGTCCTGCTCACGACGCTCAGGACTGGAAGACATTTGACTTTTAGGACATAAAACTGTTTACAATGACATTAGGAGTAGAGCAAATTAAGAACAAGTGATGTTTGCTGTGGTAACCATGGAAACGAGACTACTACGACAAGCGAGCAGGAACAAACCCTTTGCGTAATCCTTTCAAAATAAATGTAGATCCATGCATTATTTAAAATTAAGTTATATTTTGTGGAAGATGCCCGCCCTCACGAAAAATTTGTCTTTAGTGAAAAGATACAAAACTATTTGAATATGTTTTCAGTATACACACCATCACTAAATAGCAAAAATAAAATACATTACTTTTTGATTTTAGGCTTTTTCTATCAAGCATTTACGCTGAATACACAAGTTAACTTAAAGAGGTTTAACTTTAAAGAGCTCACACATCAAACAAAAATACATTTCAAAATAAAATAACAAAAAACTCAGTTCTGTTCTGGTCAAAGGGTGAGAGGGTTTATTCTTGTATATTTTAGATGTGAGTGGTTTTTGCAGCGATACAACAAACTTCATTGAAGTCCTGCATTCAAAAAACGAAAAGTAAAAGCACAGCAACATGTACTCAAAGTATGAAAAGTAAAAGTTTTCATAATGAAACTGAATGGCTTCTATATTGGCGTGATGTTATTATATATTAGATATTAAGATATTATTATAGACGCATTAATGTGTAGTATTTTCATGTTATTGGTAAGTGTAGAACTAATCTTCTTTATATACAGTTTATAAAAATATATAATATTTTATAAGATAAAGATTTTTTATGTATCTTAAAATCTTAATCTGAAACTAACAGTAACCACAGCTGTCAGATAAATGTTGTGCAGTGAAAAGTACAATACTGTATAATCACACTCATTCAGTAAAAGTAAAGACACAACCTATTTGCTTATAATTCAAGGCTTTTAATTTGAAGGCAGATGAAGTGAACCTCTTGATTGCTCGCTTTTGAGCTGCTGCCAATTTTGGAAACACGGGTTGCTCCACCCCCAGGTGTTGCAGGCCGCTTTAAATAGTTGTGGAGGAGGAGGAGGGAGGACGACATCACCATCATCATCATCAACATCATCATCACTTCACTTACCTGACATGATATTCTCGTTTCCCTGGAGTTGAGCCTCCATCCATCAGAACTGAAGATTGAAGCTCTGCACAGTGAGTATAAAGAATATTTTATTTGACTCCAAACGGCGGAAATTAAACTCAACAGCATTAATGTAGGACATAGGTGGAGGCTTTTACTACTTCTATGGAAATTACCTGTTAAATTAACTATAAAGTTTAATAATGACATTTAAACCTGCAAGATAACGACTATGCATGTTGAGGAAAAACTGAAAAGTAACTTGTTAAAAGCTAAAACTCCCGTTTCTAAAACATTTCTTTAAACCAAAACCCGTTAAAAGCAAAATATTGTGTTAACATTTGCTGTTAAAGAAATGGAAGACAATTTAGCCAGTGATATTCAAAACTAACATTCTGTATGATCCAAAATCTATTGGCAAAAGCTTAAACCTGTGGAATGGTATTTTAATCTGTTCAGTGACTTATTTTCACTTTGAACATTACATTTCCCAGTAAATATGGCAGAAATCTCAATGGGAGATGGTATATGTTGATTCTTGATCACATACCTGCTCCGTTTTGCCTGTGAGCCGGCAGCCACACATGGATGCACCTTGTGACATGTCACCATTTTGGTGTAAACGGTAAGCTTGGCTGGACACATGAGCTGCACCTTATAAGGTAGTATGCCTGCTAAGTCCCTAGCATCCCTCTTTGGGCTACCAAGCTACCAGGAGCAAAGGGTTAGCCAAACATGGGCATTCCAGCATGGCAGCTCACTTGTTTGATTGCAGGGGTTATCTGTCTGCTGCTTTTCATGTTTTATTACCTGCTGTTCAATGGGAGGTCAAAGCAGCCTTGTGACCTGCATGAAGAGACAAGGATAAGTGAGTAAGTAGCTCCATGCAAACCTATGGAAATGTGCCGTTATCAGCAGTAGTCTGTCAGGCAGTTCACTGAAACCAAATGTTAATGATCCGTCTCATTAAGATGCAAAGGCAGTTTGAGTCATAGAAGGAGGAAGAAAGGGAGAGAAAATATGAGCTAATGCGCCTTTTTTATTGATGCTGGTTTGTCCTCATCACCTCTGAGTTGTCTGTGTGATGAGGCGGAAAGAAAGAGGCTGCTTAGGTATCTGCAGTTAGAAACTTTACAGATCTTAGAGAATGTGGCTGATGTGTGTTTTCTCTGCTTGGTGCTGTTTTGTTTTTTTCACCCACAACTGTTGGCTGATTTAAAATGTGATGTATTTGAGTGTTAAGCTCTTACTATGAGTATGTTTTTAAACGGTATATTTGATTGTTGCATATTTATGCATGAATACTCAATATTACAGAGAAACACTGAGGAATCTGGGGTTACAGTTTGTAACTTACTTTGAGTTGAAAGATTGAGTTTGTTTCACCTCTCACCACAGCCTGTAGTCAGCATCGCTGATGGCTGTGGTCAGAAATGTGCTTCGTTGCACCTGTAACCACACCCAACAGTGATGTCACAGGTTCCTGGAGTGCACCTGTACATCACTGTAGCAAAGAAGGAAGTTGAATATCTGTAGGTCAGCAAAAATTTTCAGGGGGTGTTGAGTTACTCTGTAAGATTTGAAACCAAGTTTTCTTCTTTAAAATGCGTCAAATATACTCATTTAAGTAAAGTTTTACAATGTCACTGAATCTTTCTATAGTATTTCAGACATCCCTAAAGTGGACCATACCATTTCTTAACCTTGATGTTAGTTGAATGTCTCGTCTGCCTGCCTCACTCCCATCAGTGGCTCGCGTCCTCTGTTCTAGTAGTAGCAGTAGCTAACTATCTAGCCTGTTTAATACACTTTACTCTCTTACCCTCAGAATATCTGACTTAGATTGTGTCAAGTATCTACAGATGAACGGTAATGTTAGTTAGCTGAGCCTTGAGTTACAGTTTAGCTAACTAATGTTAGCTAGCTGAGACAACGGAGTATTAGTTGTTGTAGATATGTTTTGACATCAATATAGAGTTTATTATTTCATGTTAATAGTCTTTTGTGTCTGTGGTGGTTTAATTAGTCTTTAATACTAGTCTTTAAACTAGTCTATAATAGACACCTCATTTGTTTTCTCTCAGAACTTCAGGAGTTTTTCCTGGTTGGGTAAATGAACAATATCAAAATCCATGTGTGCTGAACGCTAAATAGTTGTATTAGCAGTGGTGGAAAGTTCTTAAAAAAAATGCTAGTTGTAGTTGTCTGTGAGTATACACTAGATGCACAGGTTTACTATGCAACAGGTGATTCTGGAAGCTTTTCATATCATTTCCAGAGTGTCAACCCACTGGTCCTCATTTTCTGTCTTCACCTCAGCTGTCTGTAATATTTGCATGCATTAATTCAACATGGAGCCTCACTAGCATATGTTGGGAAAAGTTATGTACAGTGTCAGGCTTTGGACGACTCAACTTGTGTTGTACTTCCTATTTTCAGTGTGTGTGATTTCTTCCCTGTGTGTTGTGTCAGCAGGCCGGAGGTCAAAAAGAGGTCAGAGGTCAACTTGACTCCCATCACCACACCGGAGGCTGAACCAGTCGACAGTGACGATTCGGACATCAGTTCAACCACCTCTGAACCACCACAGATCGACTCTGCCACCACTGCCTCCTGCGAACCACAGATCCAACCAGCTCCTAACAGTGACATTTCCAACATGGCTGACCCGGCCGCTGAGGACCAGAAGTACCTGTTTCTGGAAAACGATTTTCGCAACAGCGGCGTGGCACAAGCCGACTGGGCAGCCAAGAAGATGGTGTGGGTCCCGTCAGAGAGGGAGGGCTTTGAGCAGGCCAGCATCAAGGAGGAGAAGGGTGATGAGGTAATGTACTCCTGATAATGTCATTGTTAGTGCAGGTACTTTTAAACAAGTATTTAACCATTTAATACCCAGAACAGAAGAAGCTCTCCTTAGTTTCTTTATTAACTAACAGGAAAAATCTCACGAGCACACAGATTATGAGCTTCTGCTAAACGGTTAATGTGTCCATTTACACTAAAAGTACACTTGACATTCTGAATGTCATCATACTGTATACTGCCGCTGTGCTGCAGGTGCTGGTGGAGCTCTCCAACGGTCACAAAGTGACGGTGAACAAGGACGACATCCAGAAGATGAACCCACCCAAGTTCAGCAAAGTGGAGGACATGGCCGCCCTCACCTTCCTCAACGAAGCCTCCGTCCTCCACAACCTGCGAGAGAGATACTTCTCCAGCCTGATCTATGTGAGACACTCACTCATACATACATGTCTGTGAGGACCATGATCCCCTAAAGCTAACATAAGTCTAAACCCAGAGAAGGACCACACAAAGGGGGACATTTACTGGTGATCTGTGGCCTGTTTAGGTACTAAATATTCAAACTGTGTTTGACATTATTGACTTAAGGATCTCAACAAGGTCTGAGCAAGTAAAATAGAAGGAAACACTTTATGCAAACAATGGGAGGAGGGAGTGGAGGTGTATACAAGTCGTCACTACCATATATGTGTTTAAAGCGAAATTATTTAAAAGCAAGTCAACATCAAACAGAACTGACTAAAAATGATGAATTGTCCTTTTCTATCCTTTGAACATAGAGCTACAGAAAAATCCAGTTAGTGGATTCCAGTCCGAACAAATGAACCGTCAATTCAATGTCAGTAGTTCAAATACAAAGTGAATATTTCATGGTCAGGAAGCATTTTTAAAAGTGCACATTGATCGACTTTGTGTGTTCCTGTCTAAAGGTCTGCCTACCATGGGTTCTGGATAACTCACATGTAAAATAATGAGAGTTAAAGTCAAAGTGACACTGTGATGAACTCAGTGCTCTTCCTTAACAAGAAGAGAACATTTCAAATTTTCTGTGGAAAAAGAAAAACCGCAGCACTTTTACATCAACATGTCAGACTTAATATAAGAACAACTCTACTAAAAAGAAGCT